TCTAAGCCTTGAATCTTCATGAAGATATAAAATTCCTCGAACGATTCCTCCTATGCAATGGCTTGACCAATCCAACTGTTCATGTTTTTTGAATTCTATATACTCTAGTCAATTCTTAAATGTACAATAATACTGTATTTAAGTTCGAAATTACTAAATTTTTTTTTTCAGAATCATGTACTCTTACCAAAAAGAAAATAATCAAGACTTTTGTTTGGCACATATTCATAATCAAGTAGGGTTTCCTCGCCTTCCAAACAAAAGGGTTTCCTCTCCTTCCAAATAAAATTCCAGAAGCCTAACAAGATTTCTTGTTGACAACCCCTTCACTGCTAATTCTTGTTCATTAGCAGGTGTTCCCTGACACACAAAACATTTTATCCAATCAATTTCATTGTCATATATGCATCTTACATATGTTTAGAATTGCACAAATTGAATCAAGATTTAAAAAAGTTCCCAAGTCGAATTGCAAGAACACAACGGTACTCGTAGCATCCCTACCTAAGAAAGTAAGTTTCGAAATATTACATGTAAAGTGTGGATGCAAATTTCCACCTCCTTCTTCCTGGACAAAATTGCACTTACAAAACAATTAACACCTTAGGGTCAAGGCCAAGAGTCTCACGCGTCCACGATAATTTTTTTTTGGGGGGGGGGGGGGGGGTTTGGGCGAAGAACCTCTGATGCCACAATTAGAATTTAGAGAGAAGTATTTGAGAGTTTTTGGAGAATTTTAGCAAGAGTGAAGACCTAACTTTTTAGAGAAAATAGGGTCATATATATAGGGAATCGAGGTGGCCGGCCCTTAGAGGTTTTTTGTGTGAAAATGGGTGATTTAATTGGTGATTAATGGATTAATTAGGAATTAATCCATTAATTAACCAATTAATCTCCATTTATTCGAATAATTTGTAAGTTATGAAGTAATTACCTAAGATGAGGATGGATGAGATAATTTGGAATTTGTTACCTATTTTGGACACTCTTGGCTGATTGTCCATTGCTCGCGCGTAGGACAACCGATGTGTCTCAGGGGTGACTTTGTCCTTTTAACCAAAAACCCACGTGTCGCCTTGTGATTATTTTTGGTTCCACATAAAGGACTAGAAAAACGTAGTGAACCAATAATAACTACGCACACTCATCGAATTGAATACATTAAACAAAAATATGTGTCCGTGTTTTTGGGGAGGGGGGAGAGTGTGCAGCTATCATTTTTCTTCTTATTTCATTATAAATTAAAATCACCGTTTGCTGAGATATAGAAATCGTCCCCCATAATTTCTCAATTAAACTATTTAATTGTTTATCCATGTCATTTATATTTCTTCACTTTCATCCTTACTCGGTGCACGATCCATTAGGTTCCAATGAGTGAGGCAGTGGGCGATTGTTACTCTTAACGATCGATTGTGAACTGAAACTACATTTCAATTCTCCTTTTGATGAAGATTAGTGTTTGTATCCTCAAGGCTTCCACAAACCATGAGTGACACCTAGCAGTATGTCATGGCTACCCAAGCTAAGTAGAAGTGGTTGGAGAACCTATCCAGTTACAATTACAATGCAATACGATCATTCTCTAATACAATACTCTTAATCACATTGTTTGAGTGATAGTTTGTTTCATGTCTACTATTTAATGTGATATTTCTCTATATGATTCAATTGAATATGATTTGGAACAAACTTCCTAAGTCATATTCAAATGCTTTGGCCAAAGACTCCCGAATCATATTTCAGAGTATTCTCCCTCCACCATGGAAGGTTAGAGATCCCTTATTGTGAATTCGTATGCCTACATGACTAGATAACTTGACCCCAACAATGTCGTGGACACTCTCGATGGAATGCCTTTGACATGATCAAATATCAAGGACCTAACCATTAGACATCTATGATGCCTCAGGTCAAATGACTACTTTGCATATTGCAACTTACGAGTTCTTACATGACATGTATGTTTGAACTCTCTTTTGATCGTTGTTCAGTGTACTCGATTACCCCTTTGAGCACCTATGTGTTTGTCTTAGTGTCCAACACTGAATGACTTGAGACTAGTCATACTCACACTTGAGTTAACATAACACATGCTAACTTTAGCGGATTGTCAATGCCTAATTGGCAATCCTATGGCTAGGAACGTTTTAGGAATGAACATAAGAGAAAGGTCTCGTTAATCTAACTTACTTAGATCACTTCTCTCTTAGATTAAATACATTCATTGGATTCCCTTATTGCTTAAACACATAATATAATAAATGGTGATTAACAATAAGCTTTGCCCTTCATTAAACATATATTAGTTTAACACAATAAGTATTCCAAAAGCTATTACATTAAATGAGTGGCTTTGTGGGTATACTTCCAACAAAAAGCAGAGGTGTCGACATCAGAGGGAAGAGAGAAGGCGTTGTGACGTTGTTCTGCACTCAGAAGTAAAGCTTTCAGGGCATTGTAGGTGATGGGAGTATCACAGGCTTGTGCAGAAGCAATGGTGGTCTCATACCGAGGACCTACCTTGCTCATAATAATGGCAACCAAATCAGATTTAGAAACGAGAGCCCCAAATAGAGCAAGATTGTCGACAAGCACATTAACTTTGTCAAGATAATCAACAATAGAGATATCACCACAAGAGGTATTCATTAATTCAGTACACATCTGAATAATATGATTCTGAGACGTAGAAGCATATCGTTCTTGAAGAGACGACCAAGCAGAGGCCGAATCAATTTTGTTGACGATTAAAGCAAGAGCCTTGGGAGTAAGAGAACTAGTAATCTAGGAGAGTGTCATCTAATTAGTTTGTATCCATTCACCATACAATGGATTGAATTTGTCGGTGATTTGACCGTTGTCATCAAGATGAAATGCAGCAGGGCATGAAGATTCGCCAGTAACATAGGACAACAAATTGTGGCTGCGTAGCAAGGGAAGAAACTGGGCACACCATAGAGGCTAGTTGGTGCGATCAAAGCTTGATCATGGAAAAGTTTGTGACAGAAGGAGCGGCAGTAGAGGAAGAAGACGCCATAGATGTAGAGAAAAAGAAAAAAATTTAAAATTTGAACCTTTTTCGTTAGACGCTAGCTCTGGATACCATGAAAGATAGTAGAATATAGTTTGTAATCTCAACTCAATAATTGAGCAAGCCAACTGATCATTAATATTTATAGTAGTACAAGATGAATTCGTGTAGAAAAAGAATACAGATAACATACATAAAACATAAGATACAATCAAAACTAGACTAGGACTAGGACTGAGTTTTAGACTCCATATCGGAATGGGACTGTTCTGCAGCAATTGGAATCAGACTTGGTTTATCACTCATCTTATTTCTTCACCCACTTTTTTTCCACAAACAAGTGAAAGACTGACTGAGAAAGTTACCTTTCCTTTAGGAGGAAAATATTTATGTCACCCACTACGAAACTTCTATATGGGTTTTTTCACACATCTGTTTGTTAGGTCCACACTTTTCGAAAGCTTGGGCCACACATCTCTTATGGAAAAAGCAGCGATGGTAGCAATTCTGCCTCCTCCCGTACTTTAGGACAGGCTAAGCTAGAAAGATGGGCTACAAGTCCACTAACAATGTTAAGATTCTTTGTTGAATGTGCTGAGACTTCCGCTGTCATTTAGATAAATCATCTCATAGTTATACCCTGCACTAAATATATCACCCCCAGTAACTAGCAGTTAGCAATATCAAATCTGATAAAATCAATCAACCAAATAAGAAGTCTTCAATGCAAGCTGCAATGTAAGAGGTAGACTTGAAATGATCCATATATAAAAGAAAATGAGCATTCATAAGAATCATGAAACCTAGGCTAAGTTCCATGGACGCTTAAGGTCCCTCATCCAAACATAGTATAAACACTGCATTTCAAAATCGTAGTACAAAAGAATAGATAGAGGGGCTTCAAAATGACTAGATGCAAAACATTTGAGAGAACTTTCAAATGACACTTTGGAAGTCCTCTGTTGCGTGTCATTCTACTGCATTTGTAGTGTTTGACTAGTAACTTTGTAGTGCTTTACTAGTTCATCAGTAGTATTCTTGTAATGCATTTTTGACAATTAAGTCTAAAGTTTGTCCCTCATTCAAACATAGAACAAAACACCTTGATAACTCTATGTTTTATACAAAAACACTTCAAGAGCTCAATTGAAAAGAGAGAGAAAAAAACCCCCTCTTCCATTCACTTGTCATGCTCTAATTGATTTTTAGTTAATACTTTATCGTCAAGTCAGTTGGGTAATTTTTTTTTTCTTTTTTTAACTATTGGATTTGAAGTGTTTTTCTATAAAGATCAAGTACCATCATCTTCCAAGAGAATAAGTTAGGAAAAAAAAAAAACGAATTACTTTCAAAATGAAAATGAAAATATGGTACAACACATGCACATTGTAGATATGACATAGACTTATACACCAGTATCTACTTTACACAGTCAAAATCAACAATATTAACATAATAAACCATTTATGAATGCCCTCGTCACTAAAACGTAGCATAACATATGTCAAATCTACTGCTTTTCCGGTAAAATTGACATCTTTATGACCATAAAATTTAAAAGGAGGAGACCAATCAACAAAGTTCAAAAGATAAAAGAGGACATCGCCAAATTAAGCATGGCAAAATATGGACTAATGATAAAAAACGGTGATTGTCAAACAGCTGTAAATATAATGCATGTTATGTAGTTTAACTAGAGAATGTACAACTATTAAGAATAGAAAAAAGTGATACATTAGGACCACTAAAGTATAGGTAGGTAGGTCTTTCTCATTAAAAAAAAAAAAAAAAATTATAGGTAGGTATATTGTAATTCGATTAACCATCATTCTTTAGAATCTTCACTCTTCATGCATATTAGTGCTTATAGAGACATTATATGATATACAAGTTTAAAACTCATGATTTTCTTCTATATATCACTGAAGCTATAAAAAATTCAATAGTGTTACAACATGATTAAAAATATGTATGAAGCACTAAACACGAGAAACCCTAATGATACATCTTTCACTATATTAGATAAATCCGATAAACCTTCAATCTTTGAAATCTTCACTCTTCATTCGTACTAATGCCTATGGAGACATTATATGATTTTCTTCTATATATTACTAAAGCTATAAAACTATGATTCTCAAACACTTGTAAATATAATGAATGTTATGCAGTTTAATTGGGGAATGTACAGCTACTAAGGCCTTGTTTAATAGCTCGAACTGTACTGATTATTTCGATCAGATATGATAAATAGCTACTGTACAGTACTAACTAAATTAATCTTACTTTTGGTGCAATATCGGATTAACGACGGTATTAATTATATTGTGCTTGGTACCATATCGGATAAGAGGAATTCAATGTATTATTACTTTTACGATAAAAATGAATGATTAATGGAATAAAAGGGATTTTTTTTTTTACACTTGATAAAATTCACAACCACCAAATATATCAAATTAAAAAAGAACGAAATCTTTCTTTATTTAAATCAAGTTACTTAAAAAAAAATTTGAAATCATCTCTTCGTCTTCCCCAGGTCTCTCCGCCACACCACCCACCAACAACCTCACTCCCTATCTCCTTACAGCTCTTGGCTCAAAGAGGCATTGCTTGAAATGCACAGTCAAGCAGATCTTCCCCCTCTATACATCTGAAACTAATCCAAAAAAATACCCAGAAACTATGGAAATTATATCACAATCAGAAAACAAAAAAAGGGGAAATAGGCAAAATCGTAAAACCCATATGAAATCTTTCTGAATTTTCAAATCCTATCATCGATTCCAATTCAAGGTTCTAAAACCCAGATGAAATCTTCGAGTTCGGAGGGAGGAAGGGAGGTACCTTTGACGAACTCTTCGAGTTCGGAGGGACGAAGGTCGGTGATGTCGATCGGGTTCTGGGCGACGATACGGTTGTCTTCCTGTTCTTCTTCCAAGGCTCTCAGGCTCGGGGGGAACACAAAGACGGGAGGCATTTCACCGCATTCACTGGTTCACAGAGAGAGATAGAGAGAGAGTAGAAGAGTAGAAGAACAGAGCCAGGGAGGATAGAGGCGACCGGGAGAACAGAGCCAAACAGGGGAGATGCGTGAGAACATAGCCAACCAGAGGAGACGGGGAGAATGTAGCCGGCGAGGGAAGCGAGAGAGAACCCAGTTCACGCGAGAGAGAAGCGACCCTACTAAATTATACACTCTTTTTGAACGGGTTTCTTAAGAGGGCGTGTACTTATAAAATAAGAGAATTGGATTAAATTAGTCGGTCCAATTTAATATGAGAGCGCGTCAAACATTTGGTTTCGTATTAATAATCCTATCTGATGCTATATATGGTATACCAAACGAGGTGTAAAAGTGGTAAATTAGAACCATTGAAGTGCAAGCAGGTATATTGTAATCCGATTAACCATCATTCTCCAAAATCTTCACTCTCCATACAAGTGCTACTTATGGAGACATTGTATGATATACAAGTTTATAACTCATGATTTTGTTCTATATATCATTGAAGCTATAAAAATTTCAGTAGTGCAACAACATGATTAAAAAAAAATGTATGAATCTCTAAACACGAGAAACTACTAATGATACATCTTTCATCATAGTAGATAAATCTGATTAACCATCTTCAAAATCTTCACTCTTCATACATACTAGAGTTTATGGAGACATTATATAATGTACAAGTCTAAAAAACGTAATTTTCTTCTATATATTACTGAAGCTGTAAAATTTTCAATAATGCAACAACATGATTAAAAAAATATATATGAATCACTAAATTTTAATTTTATATTATAAATTTTAAAATATACTTATTTTCATAAGTTTTTATTATTTTACTTACTTTGTTGATGGTTTTTTTAATTTCATGAATTTGGTTTTCTTCTGGTTTGCTATCTTATATCATATGATTGCAATTGGGGAACTTGTTCATGTGGGTTTGTACCAAATGATGAAGCTGCGAAGCTGCTTCTAGCAGGAGCTGCAAACACCAGAAAGTGTTATTCTGCAAAACCCCAGTTGGTGAAACTGTAAGATTGCTGTTTACTTTGCTCATTTTCTTGTGGGTTTTCTCCAAGTGCTCAAATTTTTGCTAATTCTTGGCTCAAGTTTCATACTTTGTTGATGGTTTTTTTAATTTCATGAATTTGGTTTTCTTCTGGCTTGCTGTCTCATATCATATGATTGCAATTGGGGAACTTTTTCATGTGGGTTTGTATACCAAATGATGAAGCTGGTGAGGAATGTTAATTGGAATTGGTTTGTTCAATTCAGGCCTTTCTACAAAAGGTTTGAATTTCGGCAATGAGACGACGAAGGGTCATTGTAAAATCTTGGTTTTTTATACTTTCAGTGGGTTAGTCGCAATTGGATCATTGGTGTTCTTTCTTGTTGGAATGTCATATGCCTTTTTGTATTTGTTTGATAGTTACCCGGTTTTGAATTCCAGTAGTAGTTCCGTTGATAAATGTGATGTTTTCGAAGGAAGTTGGATTCGAGATGAAAGTTACCCCTTGTACAATGCTTCACAATGTCCATTTGCAGAAATTGGATTTAATTGCTTTGCAAATGGGCGGAAAGATGGGGGTTATGCTAAGTGGAGGTGGAAGCCTAAGAATTGTGATATTCCTAGATTTGGTGTGCGTACTGTTCTTGAAAAACTTCGTGGAAAGCGAGTTGTTTTTGTTGGAGACTCGTTAAGTAGAACACAGTGGGAGTCTTTGATACGTTTACCATGACAGGGGTGGACGATAAGAATAGTGTTTATGAAGTGAATGGGAATAAAATCACTAAGCAGATTGGATTCTTATCGGTACGGTTGAGTTCATTTGACCTCAGAATTGATTTCTATCGTTCAGTTTTCCTAGTGCAGCCTGCTACAGTTCCAATCCGATCACGAAAGAGGGTTAAGTCAACGCTCAGAGTTGCCAAGTTGGATGTACACTAGCCAAGAATGGATTGATTCTGATATTTTGATATTCAATTCAGGGCACTGGTGGACACCAAGTAAACTTTGTGACATGTGAGTTACATTAGTCTCTGAGCATTGTCCAATTTTCAGTTATTCTTGTAAAATGCTTTCTGACATCGAAAACCCATCTACAAATTTGCTTCATGATTCTATATTTATTGGATGTAGTTTTTCTTGTTTCTCATTACATTCAGTTCCTTGATCTGCGTTGTCTAATTTTCAATTATTCTTGTAAAATGCTTTCTGATGTCGAAAACATCTACAAATTTGCTTCATGATTCTATATTTATCGAATGCATTTTTTTTCTTTTTTTTTTGTTACATTCAGTTCCTTGATCCTCTTGTCATCGCATAGTGTTTTCTAGCTTATAGAGTTACTCCATGGTTATATATTTATATGATACATTTACCTTTAATCCCCACCTACTCCAACATTTAGTTTCAGAATTGTCACCATAAACTGCTTTATGCCATGCATTCGTACTCCATGCTTCGTAGTATAGATGTTCACTAATGCATACAGTGGATTCCAACTTATTTAATATTTATGGTATGCATGCTGCTTATTGTGAATAAATGGTTTAAAGGCTTCTGCATGTTAACACCTGTTCAGAAGGTCTAATTTCCCAATGAGAGAGAAAATCCCTTAGTACTGATGTGGCCGAGGTCTTGGTTGATGTTTGTTGATGCAAACGCCATGGCAGCTGTGATTATTGTATTGCGGAGGAAATATGCTTGTACGGGACTCGTAAATTTCAACTTCAGATATTGTAACACATGTAGTTTGGATATTGATGCTTATGTTTTAGCTTAAAAAACTTTCACCAGTTGGGGAAAGGGGCCTGGAATTGTAATCAAACACATATCAGATCATAAATAATGACAGGTAGAAAGCAGAATTGCCGGTTATGTTAACATCTGACTTTAGATCTTAGTTAAAGTACTTACCAGTTGCTACCACCAAAATATTGTTGCCTTAGTACACAGTTTAGACCAAAAGAAAATATACAATTCACAAAAGAATTGTGCGGCCTGTAGTAGTGTTTTGCAGATGGATTCTCTTTTTCTCACTCCACTTCGCCTTCTCACGTTCTTGTGATTGTTTGTGTGAGTGGATATGTACTTGCACCTACAACTTTTTTTTTCAACATATCATCGACTTCACAATCAGCTTTCGTGGAGTTTTCAGTGATTAAACTTGAGATGAAGTTGTGAAAGTGACTTCCAGAAAAGCATATTGAGATCACTTCTAGAATTTTTTTTATTTTCAAACAGAGACCCAAAAATATGCAAGTTTTAACAGTTTTTTAGACAGGGGCTGCTATTTTCAAGTGGGTAAATCACTGAGGCTCGGAATGCCAATTACTGCTGGCTTCAGGACAGCTTTAAACACTTGGGCATCTTTGGTTGAGACCATGGTCAACACAAATAGGACAAGTGTATTCTTCCGGACTTTTGAGTCATCGCATTGGAGGTGCGTTATTTATTTAGTTTGTTACAATACTTTCTGACTGTAGCTTTTAAGGATGCTGGAGTTCAATTGCATGTAGCTCTAAATAATTTAGTTAACGGTCAATCGTGGACATGCATGTTCGATTGGCTAATCTGAAGTAATCTATAAAGTTGTACTATTTTCTTCTTTGTAGAAGCTAAATCTTTTAAATTGTGATATATGTTTAATTGTTCATTCTTGTTCCTGAGTTGAGATACAAATAAGCTGATGTAATTGACTGCTGGTAATTCTTGTATATGTACCAGTGGCTGAAACCGCAATTCTTGCAAAGTGACTCAACATCCTTGGTCAAGCTCATGGGGAAAGGACCGGAGCGCAATTTCAGACATCATTATAAAGATTGTGAGGAAAATGAAGGTTCTATTGATTATCCTACACGTTACACCTATGGTATCATTCCGAAGCAATGGGCATGTGGGTATCTGGATCAATAATCCATCAGTGCCTGATTGTAGCCATTGGTGCCTACCTGGGGTACCTGATACGTGGAACGAAATTCTCTTGAACCTGCTGCCCATGAATCAGGTTTCCCTTACATGAAGTATAGAGTCGCTAATATGCTTCCTTCTTTTGCAGCTTGCATCAACAAGTACCTCCTAGTTTCACTCTTTTATGGAGCATCATATCAAAAAAATGAGAGGTCCTGGCATCCTGCCCCGTAAGTTGAACTTTACCTCTCAGAAAATTCTTCCACCTTGTTTGTCGTTTCGTGTACTATCGTTTCCCCTGGGGTAGTTAGTACAGGTTATAACAAGTTATTGGAATGCATTTGTGAAGCATTTTTTTTTTTCCAAAGCGAAATAGAAGTTTCTACAATTGGCCAAAATCAATTCAAGTTTGGGATGAACTGATGAAGGCAAGTTGCAGAGACTTGTAAAATTGGTCTTCCAGGCGCGTTTTAACTAGGGGAAATTCTACGTGTGCCAGAAGTGGATTTGCGGTTGTGGCAACTCCAAGGAAGGATGCCTTGCTTAATCACTTGTTTTGCTTACATCTTTGAACACAACTTGTACGTTTCATTTGATTGTTGTACACTTTTATGCTTGTGCAGAAGGGACACATAGTACTCCCTATAGATATACGGGAAATAGTTGACTCAATTTTATGGTGTTATCCAAGCCTCCTAGATTATATGCATTCACGAGTGAGCACTGGAATGAAAAAATTGTATATGATGATAATACCATGTGACATATTGAAGTAGTTTTACGAGTTAGCCGTATTACAACTTGAAGTCCGAATGAGGAGATATTTTCTTTTGCAAACAATGCATAGTTTCAGTGGCATCTTTGGTCTAATAAATGATTGCTACATGTTCAAAAAGTGTACCAACCATTCAATAGATATTTGTCACGTCTTGTCTCTAGTTACAAATATTCATCACCAGGTCCATTCAATCGTGTGAATGGATGTCCTTGTGATCTTTCCTTCCCATCTTTTATCTTGAAAAAAAAATATTGAAGACCAAGAACTACACGGAGAGCAGCTAGAAATTTGTCTGTACGCTTGAAGTAGTTTGAAATCGAGCCGGACTGCAACCAAATAGTTTGGTTCTATTTCGGAGCAAGCTTTAAAATTGCATTGAATCGAACTGTAAAAAACTGAATTTTTTTTGTTTTAATTTTGATTTTGGTTTCACTCTAAAATCTCACCAAATCAAATCGTGCCGACCTTTATGAGCGAAAGCTCTAGAGTACACAATTTCAAGAGCGGAGGAAACCGTGTAAGACTGGTTTCACCAAGC